GTTTTAAGAGAGCTTTCTTAATTTCTTTTATATATATATATATATATTAATATTACTATTATTTATATATATATATATATATATATATATATTACTCATTGAAACTAATTATTGTATATTATATATAATATTATATATAGATAATATACCTATATCTACTTATATATATACACATATATAGGTAACAATGAAAATATTATATATATATATATATAATATACTTTATATATAATTACTAATATAATTATACGTACGTATATATAATTATAACACTATATTATAATTATTATAATATATAAATATAATGCGACATAAGAATTACAATATTATTGAATTATATACTATTTATATAAGCCGATACAAAAATAAATGTTAAAGTAAAATTTATATAATTATTGTACATATTTTATGTACTTTATTTATTTTTTCTTTTTTCTTCTTTTTGTCCTTTCTTTTTTTTTTTTTTTTTTTTTTCCTTTTCTTTTTTGAATTATTTCACTAGTATAAAAATCAATCGCAATAAAGAAGTTTCTAACTTGTTGTCACAGACAGGATAATAATACCCTGAAAACGATGATGTTGAAGCCATTTCGAAGAGCGGAAACAAAGTTTCTTCCGTCCGTTGCACATGTAGTATGTAGAAATGGATGATATAATATGTACGTACATACGTATATATTTACTCGTTAGTTATCACGATCTGTGATAGTCAGTCGTATAATCGAAAGATAACTATGACAATTAAAATCTCAATTTAATTGTAGCATGTTACCATGTTAGCAATTATAAATATAGTATAATGCGTTTAATATCGTCAACGATTTAATGTTATAATCGAAGAGAATATTATCGAAGATATAGGAAATTTAGATCATCAGAAAAAGTTAAGTGCGCTTCGAATCATTTATCTTATTTCATGGTTTTTTTTTTATTTTTTTTTTATTATTATTTTTTTTTTATTTATTTATTTATTTATTATTATTTTTTATTTATTTATTTATTTATTATTAATTTTTTTTTTTTTATTTTCTTTGATTAC